GCTCGCTTAAAAATTCCTTCAACTTTTCAAATGCCATTTGAGCCTCGTCATTCCACCGAAATGCTTTTTTCTTAAGTAATTTGAAAAATGGGAAACTCCTTTCCGCAGCTCGAGCTATGAACCGGCTCAGGCCTGCAATTTGACCTGTTAGGACCTGTACTTCTCTAACATTTTTTGGCGGAGCCATGTCGAGTATGGCTTGCACCTTGTCCTTATTTACTTCGATGCCTTTTTCAGTCACGATATAACCCAGGAATCGTCCTGCCCTTACTCCAAAAGCGCATTTGTTTGGGTTCAACTTCATCCCATAAGTCCTTAGCGTCTTGAAAGTTTCCTTCAGATCTTCTACGTGTGAGGTCGAGGACCTACTTTTCACCAAGATATCGTCCACATACACCTCCATATTGCGTCCGATCTGTGACTTGAACATTCAATCCATCAACCTTTGGTATGTTGCACCTGCATTTTTAAGCCCAAAAGGCATAACGACATAGCAGTACGTCCCTTTGCTTGTGACAAAGCTAACTTTGCTTTGGTCCTCGGGGGCCAACGGGGTTTGGTGGTATCCCTGGGATGCATCCATCATGCTCAGCAACTCGCAACCAGCTGTGGAATCGACTAGCTGATCAATCCTTGGCAGGGGGTAGTGGTCTTTGGGACATGCCAAGTTTAGGTCGCGGAAATCGATACACATATGCCATTTACTCAATGCTTTTTTCACCATTACAGTGTTGGATATCCATTCGGGGAATTGGATCTCTTTGATGTGCTTGGCCTTTAACAACTTATCCACCTCGACCTCGATTGCTTTATCTATCTCAGCCCCGTGGTGTCTGAGTCGCTGCTTGACGGGCTTTTTGAGGGGGTCGAGATTGAGCTTATGCTCCATGACTTCTGGATCGATTCCCGTTAATTCCTCTGGAGAGAAAGCAAAGATGTCTCTAAATTCCCTCAGTAGTTCCACCAACTGCCCCCTTAACTCGTCGCCCAATTCTTTCCCGACCTTAGTGGTCTGATCCTCCCCTTCCCCGATCTGGATTTCCATCAGCTCTCCGTGTGGTTCGAGATCATTTCCCCTCGGCCTTTTTTCATTGGATCCCAGCTTCTTTCCTTTTTTTGGCTCCGTTCGTTGGTTCGTCCTTACCGCTATCTGGTAACACGCCCTGGACAATTTTTGATCTCCTCGAGCTTCTCCCACCCGATCTCCGACTAGAAATTTCAACTTCATATGGTAAGTCGACACCACAGCTTGGAAAGTATTCAGTGCC